CCCCAAAACCCCAAAACCCCAAAACCCCAAAACCCCAAAATACTGTTTTTTGTTGAGTATTTTAATAAATAAATGAATGGTTTAGAGGAGGCATATATTTCATGGGTAAATGCTGATAATTTGCGGGAAAGGATGGAAGATATCTGTATATATAGTGAAGGCTTAGAAGTATTGAATGGAAACTTCTATTCCAACCCAGCCTGTCTGTAAAACGCTCACCATAGCAATTTGATTACAAAGAACCGAATATACCAAATCCTTTGTGTAGTCTAGAGCCAAATAACAACTACCCAATATGTAGGATTGGGTTCTCTTCGATTCTTAATACTGAGAACCAAGATGTGATTTTTAATGAGGATAATGACTTCTTCAGAGATCCTCAGTTTAACCTGTTCAAGATCTTAGAGGATGTAGATAAGCTTGATCTTGGCCCAGAGAAGTCTAAAGAGCTGAAGTCAAGTAAATTATTATAAAAAGAAACATAAAAAGAAATATTAAAAAAATGATCGAGGAAACCCTTGTAGAACTTGATAAGTTAAAATCAGAAGAATTCCCTTTGAAGTAGCTCCACTAGATAATCAAGAAAGGCTTATGACATTTGAAAACAACACTATTAAGTAAATCAATAAGCACGATGAAGAAGATACCCAGTTTGATAAGGATGGTAATAGAATACATAGGTCTAATCACTCCATGAATGAGAGTAGCCATAAGACGAAACATTCAATGAATGGCATTAATTTCATCCAAGCTACCAGTTAAAGTATGATATCGAAGAAATCCTTCAGGAACCTAAACTTGTTAAAACTCAAGAAATAGACTTTGACAGAGTCATGACTGGTGAAAATTACTCACAAGGGAGTGAATCAGTCAAGGTTGAAGAGGATCTACTTCACGATAACATCAAATTTGATGATAATCTTCTATAATTTATCAACAATCCCTCCTTCTTCCTTTAAATTATATTTAAAAATTTAGGAATTTAATATTATGGGTAAAAGACAATTATTCAATACTAAATGCTTATAAAGGGGTTTTGGGGTTTTGGGGTTTTGGGG